AGTTTTTGGCCCTCCACCACGACCGTATCCACGACCGGATCGACCTGGCGGGCAAGGTCCCTGACCACGACCCCGTTCACTTCCACCTTCCCCGCCGCGATCAAGGCTTCTGCCCCCCGTCGGGAAGCGACGCCTGCGTGGGCCAGTATCTTGTTCAGGCGGGTTGTGGGGCCCTGGGGAGAGTGGGAGACGGGGGTCTTTTTGGCGACCTTTGGGGGGGGGGAAGTGGAGGGACCTGGAGGTTTTTTTGGATGGGCCACACGGGACGTGGGAGAAGTGAGGTGACGACCGCGCAATCCCGTCAAGGTCGAAAGTGCCTTGCGGAGGCCTTGGCCCCGTGTGTCGTTGGGGCCGGGAGAGTCCTTCCCATTCTCGTCAGAGCTGCCTTTCCGGTGATTGCTTGCACCGTCCGAGGTCCGCCCCCCCCTGCGCGGAGGATAATTGCTACCGCGAGGCGCCTTATCTGTAGGAAGATGTTGCCCACTGTCGTTGCTATCCCTGCGTGAAAATGAACGCCATCGTCCTTCTCCTTGAAGGCAAATTAAAGCATCTCCGCCGAGTCCTCCTTGGGTCCTGTAGGTTGCCTCAGGACGGTCTAAAAAACCTTTTCTCGCTCCCCCCTGAAGCGAAACAAACGACGGGCAATGCGTGCGCAGAAAGGCACGGGAAATTGTGCGCGAGGACGCATCTCGATCTCCGTTTACACGACAGCCGGCGAGTGTTTGCGTGGTCAAAAGGCACATTAGGAGGGCAACGAGACTTGGTGGTCTCCGTCTCAGAGACATGGCTCCTGTGTTTAGGTACGGGTATGCGCCGAGATACAGGGACGTGTGGGTCGCATGGCGCATAATCGTGTGTCAGGACAGATTTTGGCCTCGCACTGGGAAGTCGCACTGGCCGGGTGGGAGTGTTTGGGGGGTTCAAGCGAGAAGTTTTTGTCATTTTTTGTGGTGTCGCTGGAGGGCAGTCAGCGAGGTCGTTTCCATTTCGGTAGGATGACTTTACCGAGACGTTTTGTCGCCCTCCTTCCATCTCGAGCTCCTTGCAATCCATATCCTACTTCCCTTGCGGTGCGTACGGCCTGGTGCTTGGCTTACTCATCTCGTGCTTCTTGCTTTTCTTCTCTTGTATCACTCAGCCCACCGCACCTAGCGGAGAGGCAGCGATAGTTGGCACCCGAAATAACAAGAAATACCGGCACCATGGTCACTCCCGGGGGGGCTGCTGCAGCCACGTCTTCTTCTTCCACCCCCACCACAAGTGGTGCCAGTAACCATTCCACAGGGCACGCGCAAGCGGGGAATGCATCCACCGCAGCAGGTAAGCCAAGAAGACAGGGCAATTAGAGCGGGGAGGTTCCATGTATGAAGCACGCGTTCTTTCAAAACAAGGGTGAGGCAGGGGAACGAAGTCAAAATTAAGGTGCTACGTTGTGTCGGGATGGATTTGTAGGGGTGAAAGAGAGCTGATATGGGGGGGCCTTCCTCAGTGCGACATGGACTGGAAGCAAGCAGCCTGATTCTGGGAAGGAAATGAGACGATAAATATATATAGAGATGTGAAAATATATATATATGGTGTGCCTGTTCTTGCTCGGAGAGATGTAGATATATAAATATAAACATATATATATATATATGTGTGTTTATACACATGTAAATGTGATGTGCCTGCTCTTGTCCGTCCCTGCGTGCGCCTCTTCTTCAAGCGTTGGTGACCTATATCAGACAAAGTCAGATCAAGAACATAACAAAACAGCCTCCTTCCTTCCTTCCCTCCCTCCCCTTCTCCTTCCCTCCTTCTTCTCCTCCTTGTCCAGGCGTGAAATCGCAGGCTCGCGACACCTGGTACACATTCAACGAGCACCGGCTGGAAGAGGTCATGGCCGCAAAGCCCTGGAGTCAAGAGTGAGGAGGGAGGGAGGGAGGGAGGGAGGGAGGATGGAGATGGAAGACAGCGATTTGAGCGTCGTGCTTTGAGACTCGGCTCGCAGGGAATGTGTTCCTCTTCGTCTCTTGACTGCTTTCTGACTTCCCATGTCCCTGGCCTTGCCCTCCCTCCCTCCCTCCCTCCCTCCTTACTTCCTTTTTTCCCTCCGGGCAGCCCCAGATACTTCAAGAAGGTCCGTCTCTCTCCCTCAGCAGCAATGGCCC